CTACTTCATCAAGAATAATCAAAAAATGCCGAATTAGCTGATTTTGAAAATGTCCAAACAACAACTGAATAAATGGACTATTCTGAATGTTAAACCAGAATCAATTTTATAAAAATTGATATGTTAGATTTTTCATTAGTAAGCATATAATCAAAACACTACGAAAATAAACAGTAAATCTGGAACAAATGATGAAAAATTCTTAATTAATAAACTACTTAGAGTTCAGTTCGTATTTCAGAAAGTATAATATAGTTCAGATTGCTTTAATAAGCCCTAAACTTTATTAGGAATGGACACCCATATCCAGCTAACCTTGGAGATTGGGAGATGTTCGGATTGGAAACCTTTATGGGAGCTATAGAAATAGCGTTGAGCAAGGACCAATATATTTTAATTGTTTATTTCAAAATCCAAGTGTATCTTCACAGAATGAAATCAAACAATTGTTAGGGGACCTGAAAATTTCATAGGCTGAAATTGGTTCAAAACATTTAAAATGACGTCGCTTTTAACAAAATTCATTTGCCAAGGAAATCTCCCATGCATATAACGGAAATATATAAAATTTTTGGTATATTGAAACTTTGCTATCATCTTAACCCAAATAGCTATATTTTTAGGTTGAATTTGTATTGGGGAAGTATGTTTGCCATCTATTTTCCCGAGTAAACAAATTGGATGTTTATTTAACTGTCCAATTTTGCCTTGTATTTGGCATTCCATTTACATTGAAGCTTAACTTGTTTAGGGCTCCAGTTGGTCTATTGAAGGGAAAAAAAAAAACCCAATTGAGGGGGGGCTTTTATAGGGTTTGTAACTTTTGTGGGGCAAAAAAATTTTAAAAAAAAATTGTTCCCCAAATTTTTTTTAACCAATTTTTTAAAATTCCCCCTTTCTTCCTTTTTCCCCCCCCATCTCTACCCCTTGATTCAAACTTACATTACATTTAAATTTGGACAAAAATCACTTAAAATTCTCGACTCCTCAACTCAAATTTGTATCAAATTAAGTTTTATCCATTTTTTTCCCCCCAAAATTTAGGAATACTCAAATTTTTACTCGAAATTTTTAAAAAGATTTTGTAATTTTCAAATTTAGAACTATATCAATTAAAAGTTTGTCTATTGGAGTGGTCTCTCGGAAATCCTTGAAGACGAATAAGTAATATTGAGAATTCGTTGCTTAATTGGAAGAGGGATAAAAATACTAAGTGCTTAGCAACAGATACACTTTAGTGGTGATGAAGTGATAAGAAGCTTTGTTGGGGGATGAAATATGAGGTCCATATCTCACCAATAGCACTTTGGATAAGGGAAACAATCCACATATCACAATTCTATTGGATCGCATTTTTCCATCACAGCCAACCCTTGAAGCTATTCTCTCTCCTAAGCTTTTCTCTCATCTCACAAGCCTTCCAATCCCACCTACAGAATAAGCTAAAACTAAGCTCAACAAGAACACACGACACCAATGGCAGCAACTATAGCAACGATGGCCATGCTCAATGCCAAGTGCTTCACCACCCCTAAAACCCACAACCCATCTAAGCCAACAACAAAACTACCCACCACCACCACTTGCACCTCCCTCCTCTCCATCCAAAACCTCCCAAAAGGCCTCACCATCTCTAACCCATCACCCCTATCCAGCACTGCCCTTGCTGGAGCCATTTTCGCAACCCTAACCTCATGTGATCCAGCCATGGCAGCCCAACAAATTGCCGACATCGCTGAGGGCGATAACCGGGGCCTAGCACTCCTCCTGCCAATCATTCCAGCCATTGCACTGTTGTAGATAAGTTTTGGCTGAGCTGATTTGTCGTGTAGCGTCGGCTGAAAGGATGAGGCTGATCACTTTCCGCCAAAAAATGCAGCTTGCTCCACGTGTCCTGGATAAGGTTGGAGTCGATCAGGAGACAGCTACATGTGATAGTGGGGTCCACTATGCTTCCATCCTGTTGATGAGATTGTGATATTCTTCATCAGTCTCTGATGGAGGGGAATCCGGATCTTGGCTGTATTGCTCATTTCAGAAATGTTCTACATCATCCACGGTCATGGCTAGTTCCAACGGAAGATCCAAATTATTTTTCTTTTTGAGATTTATTAACATGTCAAGAACCTCATTAATTTGTGTAGGAGACCTTTGATATGTTATGGGAAAATGGGTTACAAATAATATTCTTCCATCTGTAACCATGAATGGCAATTTTGCTGAGCCATGGATGTTGAACGCTGCTTGTGAAACAGATATTAGACTGTCTATCCAATATTCTGTTAAAGAAAGTTTTTGAATATTTTCCAATCGCTCTCTTCGGTGATCTTCATCTAAATAATCGTCTTCAAATTCAAAATCTTCAGTTTCTTTAAGATACCAAATCTGGTATGGTTGGAAAAAATATTTCGTTTTCGCCAACCAACAGTACTGGAGATCCAAAAAGTAAAATATTTGTTCCATCGAAAGCCTTTTACTATCCATGAGAGCATTGTTTTGATGATCATTGGATAATCTATCCATTGAATTGGATCTAAAATTTGGAAAATAACTTGATTAGTTATTCCCCAATCTATATCCTCAAAAAATCACATGTTATGGTTTGCCATGATGGTTAGATGAAGATCACCGAAGAGAGCGATTGGAAAATATTCAAAAACTTTCTTTAATAGAATATTGGATAGACAGTCTAATATCTGTTTCACAAGCAGCGTCCAACATCCATGGCTCAGCAAAATTGCCATTCATGGTTACAGATGGAAGAATATTATTTGTAACCCATTTTCCCATAACATATCAAAGGTCTCCAACGCAAATTAATGAGGCTCTTGACATGTTAATAAATCTCAAAAAGAGAAATAATTTGGATCTTCCGTTGGAACTAGCTATGACCGCGGATGATATAGAACATTTCCAGAATGAGCAATACAGCCAAGATCCGGATTCCCCTCCATCAGAGACTGATGAAGAATATCACAATCTCATCAACAGGATGGAAGCATAGTGGACCCCACTATCAAATGCAGCTGTCTCCTGATCTACTCCAACCTTATCCAGGACACGTGGAGCAACCTGCATTATTTGGCGGAAAGTGATCAGCCACATCCTTTCAGCCGACGCTACACGACAAATCAGCTCAGCCAAAGCTTATCTACAACAGTCTATCTCTTTGAAAATCGGGGAGAGTAGACAGTGTGTATCAGTGTATATAATTGTAAAAACTGTAACAAAGAGCAAATAATTGTAGTCCTTTTGTATTTATTTTTGTCTCTTTGTATTTACTTTTAGGCAGATTTTTCAAAAAGCCTATGACTAGGCTTGCCTAAAGAGTTAGAAAAATTGGCACCTTTTAAGACGTAAAGTCTTACAAAGTTAGATATGTTAGATATGAAATTAGATATGCAATAAGTTATACTTTGTTTGTATTCCCCTCTTATAAGTCTATATATTGGCCTTTATGCCAACATTATGAAGCATGTAAATTCCCTTCAACTTCTCTCCATCTTTTTGCTTTCTTCTTTATCATAATTCCTTATTCTATAACTCCACCATAATTCCATAAGTAAAAAGGAAAGGAGCTTATTGCATATCTAACACTCTTAACTGAGATAGAACGTTATGAACGTACAAATCTCACATAAACAAAAGAAAACCAACTTAAACATGTTTCTGGTAGTTTATATTTACATAATAAAATGATAATTAACAAAAACAATTTGTAGTTGACATTAATTAATCTCTTATATTTATTCATATTTTAACACATTACAAAAAAAAAATGTTAGAATATATTTTTATATTTAATATAGAAAATATATATACACACTCTCATAGGTGTTCCCAATTTTAAAAACTTTTATATGCCCTTGCTCTCCGACCTCTGCCCCCGCCCTCACTTTGCACAACTAAGATTTGAGAGTGGTCACTTGAACACTGTAACTTTTTTGTTTCTTGAAAATTTTCTTTGTTCCATACATGTGACTTATTGATTTGTAATTTGTCACTCCTAAAGAAAATTTTAAACACCCTTGGTTGTGTGGAGTGTTATTTGTCATCCTTAATTTTTTCTTTTTGAACACCTTAGGCTAATTGGATTGTCATTTGTCATCCTTGAAAAAAAAAATTGAACACTGCTGTTTATTTGGGCTCACTCCCAATTTTGAACACCCTTTTTTTGTCAAAGCCATGGGTACCAACCCCCTAAATCATTATGGGTGTCTTTTGCCTTGGTCTGTTTTATACTTACGGAGGTTCATTCTCCTTTTTCTATTTTCTCTTTCTGTTTCGAGCATTCAGAGGTTAATTCCTTGGCTGATAATTTGGCTATGCTTGGTGCTAATCAAGATTGCTCTTGGGTTTTTGATTCTCAGTTAGACTTGCCTGCTTCCATTTGGTCTAGAGTATAGTATTGCTGGAGCATTTTAGCTTGCCTAAGCACTAGGACTTTGCTTTTGTTTTTTCCCCATCTCGTCTATGTTCGTTGTATAGCTTTGCTTTCTTTGAGGTTGCTAATCAAGGTTGCCCTGTCTGTCTAGGTGTGCCTTTTTGTTCTTTTAATTAAAAAAAGAAAAAGAAAAAACCACTCAAAGTTTGATCTACAATGTGACAATGCTCCAAAGGTAGGAGGGTGCCTTCTTTGAGATATAGTAATAAATAATGGATTTATGTGAACATGAGCTTTACATAACAGCACCTGTGATATTGACATTTTTCTTGCTATAGTAGCATTTGCATTTTTCTTTTTTTTGTGTGGACAAGTCCCTTGTAATGAACAAAGAAACATAAAAGGCCAACTCAAGATGTTTATAAGGCTTTTCTTTCAATACCATCTGTTTTGCAGGAAATTTGATTTTTCTGTGATATGTGGTTTGTGTTATTGCCTGAAATTTGGGACAAATAACTGGTTATCTTTTAGTTCCATCTTAAGAGTAATTGGAATAATTTTTTTAATCACATTCGTATTATGTTATTAAATGATGAAATATTGGTTGGTCTTGCAGGATCATTTGACAGCTGCTCGAGACCCAAAAAGGACCTCCTTTTGAGTTCACATACTGTCATAGTTATGTTTGAAGCAGGTTTTTGCTTCTTCCAACCTACAAGGTTACTTATTCTTTTACAATAATGTTCCAGCGCAGCGCAGATCAGATCTTAATGAACGAAGTTCCCTCCAAAACTTCATTGCATTTGATGAACTTGGGGGCTATTGGTGTACTGGAAATAAATGAATGAAAAAAGTTTTATGGGCATATCCTTACGTAGCTAAAGCATAGAAAAATGATAGAATGTGGTTCTGCAGTTGGTTTTAATTTTTAGATTTTGTAATCAGTTACCGGAGAAATTTCTCGTCTTGAAACAAATTTGTAGAGTTGCATATTTTGTCACTTCGTCTGGTTGGGCTACTTGTGATATGTCTCTTCAGCTGAGCTGTGTGCATAAGATGTGCCTTTATGGAACAGTTGTTTTTCTCACAGATTGTGATTTCAAGTAAATTTGTTTTCTTGAGCCCAAGATGTTGTGCTGTCATTATAGACAATTTGTATCAGAAAAAATTTTATTTGGGGAAATTACAAATATAAAATAAAATAAAATAAAATGAACTCTTGTGACAAACTGAACCGTGAGTTTTTATTTATTTTTAATTTAAATCCTGAATTTTAATGAGGTTTCATTCCCAATTTTCATTTAAATTTTCTGATGGAGAAAGCTAATTTTGTCAATTAACACTCATTTTTCTCTATTCATCTTCATCAACAGCTTTTACCACTACCACCACCACCATCTCCTGTCCCAGTCCACCTCCACCACCGAAACACCACACACCCTTGCCTACCACTGCCTCCATTACCCTTTGCACATCCACCTCCACCATATTCACCACAACCACCAGCTACCCCGACACTTGTACCCACCGTAAAAAATTGTGCAATCACAAACATATATACTCAATGCTGGTGGTGCTCAATTTCAAACCTTTAGCTGAAAGGGTTTCCCTTTGGTTGCCATGGACGCTCTGGAAGAGTTGTATCAAGATGCCATGGATGCTCATGCCGGTTGCCACATATATAGATCTAGAGTCCAGCCACCTTAATGCATCATGGAAGCTTTTGATTATTTGATTGGTAGCGGTAAAAGGGGAAGCTGGAACAAAGAAAAGTGACTATCCGGGAAGTTAAGGGAAATGGAGGGGGAAAGGGAGCACTGATAACAAGTGAGGAAGGAATGATGATTGGTTGTTCTAGTAGTTATGATTTGGTTTGGTAAAGTGCAAATTTTGAATTTACAATTGAAAGAATGAAAGAGATTGTTCTACTTGTGCTTCATTTTCTTTTTCCTGTTAGAACAAGCCATCATTGTTGCACAAGGAGCGTCCTTTTTTTTTTCAATTAAAAAAAAGGAAAAATGATCACTTTAACAAATCAGAGTCAAATTAAAAAAAATTAAAATTCAAGATTCAATTTGTTAAGAGTTACATAAGTTTTTGTTTTTGATATTTCCCCTTTATTTTATTCAAAATGACAAACCACTGGTAGATCTCTCTTATCATTTTGACCTCCTTTAACCGTACTATCAGAACACTTGGTCTCAACAGTGCTCCTCTGACACACTAGGCCAAAAACAATAAAAGTTAAAGTAGCAAAAACATGATTCCTCTGCTCAACGAAAATTGGATCTACAGTTGGTACCAACTAAGAAGATAAAATAAAGATAAGGATAATCGACTGCATCCATTTAACACACACCACCTATCTCTTATCTTCCTTTTGAAATTCAGGAGTTTTATCTATAAAACAACAAGCTTCACTCTTATTGAAGACATTTAATTTTTAATATCCCTTACTCCTTGTAAAAGTCTCTCCATATAATAAAATTCCATATTTGTGTTTGGTATGCTTAAAGTTTTGTAATCCCTTGTAATATTTCTCTTTTTAATCTTTTTATGGTTTATGAATGAATCTACTGTGTTTCATAGATATGTTTTAAAACAAATCAAAAAGTATCAAAAGTAAAAGGAAGAAATAACAAGAGAATATCCTACTTTAAGATATCTTCCGGGCCACATTTGGGATTATTTAATCAGGCTTGAATATTATATTGGTTACCTTTATGACATTCTAGATATTCTTTTATCAACATAAGCATATGAGATCATATATGTAGAAATTTGTATTTACTACTATAGCAGTAAATATTAATAGTCCTAAATTTGTGCCTCTTACATGATCAATGGTGATAAGGGTGAGTGGGACGTCACCCAAGTCGCGGTTGGGGTTATTGTCATTTTGCATTAAATTGCTCTTGACCTGTACCTCCTATAAGACATTGACAAACGTGCCCAACAATATACATAAACGTGCTCAACAATATACATCATTAGGCGCACCTATTTGGTATCAGAGCCAGATTTATTAAGATGTATACTGTTAGTTGTGGTAAACACTGATTATACATGTATGATCATATGCAATCATATGAATAACTCACATATGGAATCTACTTCATCAAGATAATCAAAAAATGCCGAATTAGTTGAATTTGAAAATGTCCAACAACAACTGAATAAATGGACTATTCTGAATGTTAAACCAGAATCAATTTATAAAATTGATATGTTAGATTTTCATAGTAAGCATATAATCAACACTACGAAATAAACAGTAAATCTGGAACATAATGATGAAAATCTTAAATTAATAAATCTTAGAGATTCAGTTCCGTATTTCAGAAAAGTATAATTATAGTTCAGATTGCCTTTAATAAGCCCTAAACTTTATTAGGAATGGACACCCATATCCAAGCTACCCTTGGAGATTGGGAGATGTTCGGATTGGAAACCTTTATGGGAGCTATAGAAATTAGCGTGAGCCAAGGACCAATATATTTTAATGTTTATTCAAATCCAAGTGTATCATTCACAGATAGAAATCAACAATGTTAGGGGACCTGAAAATTCATGGCTCGAATGGTTCAAAACATTTAAAATGACGTCGTTTTAACAAATTCATGCCAAGGAAATCTCCATGCATATACGGAAAATATAAAATTTTTGGTATAATGAACTTGCTATCATTTAACCAAATAGCTATATTTTTAGGTTTGAATTGTATGGAAGTATGGTTGCCATCTATTCCAGTAACCAAAATTGGATGTTTCATTAATGTCCAATTTGCCTTTGGTATGGCATTCCATTTACATGAGCTAACTGTAGCTCCAGTGTCTATGAGAACATTGAGGCTATAGGGTTTGTAACCTGCAAAATTAAATGTTCCCAATACATATGTATATCTTCTTTTTCCTTGGCTAGGAGAAAAAATAATATCATAATTTTTTGTTTGAAAATGATACATATATGCAGACTTAATATGTTCAAGTTTTCTTGTTCCTGAAAAAATAGGAATCTGAACATTGTTTGAAGTAATAGATTCTTGATTAGAATTATTACTTGATTCTCCAATGCTTAACTTTGAAAATGATTTGTTAGGAAAATCTTTTTCAAATACAGAAGTTGATCTTTTAATTTTTGGAACTGTATTTTCAATATATAAATTTTTTTCCTGATGCTTGCATTTGTAATTGTGTAGGTTTTTTTGTTTTAGAAGATTCTCCTTGTCCCACTAGGTCTTGGATTAACCATTGTCGAGGGACTTCTAAATCGCTCCAATTCATTAGACGAGGTTGTATTACTATGTCAAATGGTCTTGGTTCAAAGATTTCAACGATTTTATTATCGTTTGATCTTGTTTTTGTTTCGGGAAATTTGGTTAATTCATGAATTGTTTTCCAACGAATAGCCAAATCATGAGAATTTGATTTCATTCCTAATCCTTGTGTTTTAATTCTTATTCTGACTGTATCTTCAAGATTAGAATTATTTATGGAAACAAAAAAATTTGGTCTAACATTAAACCAAACTACTCCATTAGCCAAATCAGACTGAATTCCTCCAATGATTGCTTTCGTTGGGTCGGAAAAACTTTTGTAAAAAATTACTGCCAAAATAGGAGTATCTATCCCTTGACGAAATAAGGCTGTTATGGTTACTTGAATTAATCCAATATGAATATATTGAATTTCAGGATATTTCTTTTTCCATCTTGCAAACTTTTTCTTATAAAAAAAAGAAATATCAATATTTCCTTCTTCTGACCATTTTGCTTGAGTGTTACCACTGTATTGTTCAAACACTCTTGCTGAAAAGAAGTTAAATTTTGAAAGTTTGTAAATTTCTGGAACAACAACTTCTTGCATTTTTTCGAATTTTGCTAATTCTTCGTTGGTATAAGTTTTTTCTACTATTATTAGTCATCATGAAGATTAGTTCTTCATCTGAACTTTCTTTATCACTAGAAATTTCATATAAGATTTTTTCTTTATCAGAAATTTCTTCTCCATTTATTATTTCAAAATCTTGTTCTTCAAGGACTTTGATCATTTTCTTTGCACTTTTTTTTCCCTTTTTGGGCATTCGGGTGCATAGTGACCTTCTTCGTTACAAATGTAACATTTACAAGTTTTTTTTTTTTGAAACACTTGTTGGTTTCTTTTTTCAAATATACTTTTTCTTTTTTGAAAAAGTTTTGTTCTTTTTCCAAGGTTTCCATTTATATTTTCTACGTTATTTGGAAAATCCTTTTCTTTTAGGAAATGTATTACAACCAATTTTCCAATTTTCTTTTAAAATTTTATCACAACATTTTTGACCGTATTGTGAGTTGGAAATTTGATTTTTTATTTGTTTTTTCGCCTTTGCATCTAGACACCGATCTGCTATCAGTCTTAGAACATAATTTATGCGAAAACCAAGATTATCATATTCTTCCTTCCTCATTTTTTTAAGAAAATCAGGATATGTTTTAACACATAACTCATCCCATGGATTAGGGAGTTTATGAAAAATTGATCTAACCAGGGTTGATTTGCTGGTGGATCAATAAGATAATAATATTTTTTAAAAGTTTGAACATAATCTTCAAAAAGACAAATATTACATAATTCTAATTTAGTCAAAATATAATTTGCATTTGCTTACAAATTAGTATCTCCTGCAAAACCACATAAATTTTCTTTTATGATTTTTGCAAATTCAGCTAAGATTGTGTCAAGTGTGAGAAAATTTGTTAACAAAGCCGTTTTTTGACTTTTTCCAATTTCAGATTTTTCCTACTGTCTTAACCATTGCAACACATCTCCCTAGAGAGTTGCTGCAATATAATCAAGGAATTTTTCCTTTGACCAACTATTTTTATAATTGATAATAATGATGGACAAGGATTGTGCCCAATCATCAATTGCTTGTGGTTGATCCTTAAATGGAACATGAGACAAGTCTAAATAAGTACCATTTTGAGCTATTGGATACTTATGATTATTATATTTTCTAGATATTACTGGCTCAGGTGTAGGATTGGAGGAACTTCCAATGTTAGTATCATTTTTAATTTCATTTGTTTTAATAAAGTCAAAATTTTCTCCATCTCTCCAGGTGCCAAATAATTCGGGATCAATTGGCTTTTCTGCCTTTCTTTTCCCTTTATTTATTTCTGATGAAATATCTTGATCTATTGTTTATTTAGATGAGGATGATTGGCTGTCATCATCATTAGTTGACATATTAATATCATAATTAAAATGTTGTAAAAGGGTTTCATTTTCTAGATAAGTTTAGTAGCCTATTTCTTTCACCAATACCTAAATCTGAGTCTTTATATAATTTTCTCCAATAATCCAATATTTCAACAACATTTTCATATTCAGTTCTATTATAGGTATTAGTTTGAAGTACCATAATATCTTCTGTACCATAAAATAGCCTAGGGATGTCGCTATCTCCTGGACTATTCATTCCATCATTGTTTATGAAGGATAAAGTTTCTAATTTTGTCACCAAATTGTGATTTTTTGCTTCTTTATTTAAGTCAATATTTATTATAGAACCCAAATTGTCTATTTTAGATTCTATAGACTCACTTTAGTCTCTAGATAATTTTGATTTATTTTTTGATTTTTATCTAATTTGGAAAACCAAGATCACATAATATCAGTAATATTATTTAAACGAGAACACACACTATTTATATTTGCAGACTCTTTAGTAATATGCAAACTATGATCATATTTATTATTAACATTATTTTTTGTATTTCCAAACCATATTATATCATCAGAATTAATTGCCATTTTAGATTGTTGTTGGTACCTAAGACCCTCTTATCTGGTGCCTAAAACCTCTCTTTATGATCTTAAAGACTTAATTATGACCAATAGTCAAAAGATCTTAATGAGTATATGGGCTTTGACATACACTAAGCATATATGTTTTATAACAACTATAAATGAAACAAATAATTATAAAGATATAAAATACAAAGGATACACAAAAAACTTAAACGGAATTTTTAAAATAAAATTATTTTTATTTTTTTATAACTTAAAACACACCATACAAACTTATATATATATATATATATATATATCACAAATTTATACATAGATAGAAATACTTACATAGCTTTATCTTGCTTTCAAAAGCTCTTCACCAAGCTCTGATACCAATTACAAAACAAAAAAGGAAATGAGGCTTTTACTATTTTTCTTATGGAATTATGGTGGAGTTATGGAATTATGCTAGACAAAAGGGAAAGCAAAAAGATAGAGAGAAGATGAAGGAAATTTACATACTTCATTATGTTGGCATAAAGGCCAATATATAGACTACAAGATGGTGAATACAAACAAAACCAAACTTAATGCATATCTAACATATCTAACTTAGCAAGACTTTACGGCCAAGAGTTGCAAAATTTCTAACACCCTAGTCAAGCCTAGTCATAGGCATTATAAAAAGTCAAAAAATAAATACAAAGAGACAAAAATAGTTGAAGGAAAGACTACAATTATTTGCTCTTTGCTACAGTTTGCTACAATTATATACACTGATACACACAAATTCGGGCCACCAAGCATTTTTCGACAGAAATATAGGTGAAACTCTTACCTTAATGAGTATTAACCGAAGGTTACAACTACTTACTCGACAGCGAACCTATAGCCGTAATTTACAGAATTCATTTTAAGGTTCTCACCTCTTTATCTCCTCATCTTAGAAAATGGAGTGATCCAAGAAAAACTGTATTAATTGAATCAAATCTGTATACTAACGATATAACAGTCCTTTGAATGATACCATGCGATGATATTACTTTTCCAAAATCTTAAGTGGTGCAAAATGCAGTACCTCCTCAACCTGTTCTCAATAATAGTATAGATCAAATAGTACAAACTGTAGATGGGGGATGCAGTTCTCAATTTTGTAACACCGTCACCACAATTATCTAGATGTAAATCCTCAGCTTAACTCCTTATAGAGTAACTTTGCTGGTATCTTCTAGACAATCAATTTCTGATCCATTAGAACCTGTGATAGGAGTCAGAATATTCGAAAATCAAATACCTCACAGAGTATATAACAGAAGGCCTGGAAATCATAAGGAAAACCTTAAGTTATGATTTGGTTTGGTAAAGTGCAAGTTTTGAATTTACAATTGAAAGAATGAAAGAGATATGTGTGCTTAACTTTCTTTTTCCTGTTAGACCAGGAATAGAGATGGATCAATGATTGAGATTGAGATCACTTTAAAAAATCAGGGTTTAAATTAAAATAAATTAAAATTAAAGCTCAAGATTCAATTTGTTAAGAGTCAAACCTAAGTATTTGTTTTTGGTATTTCCCCTTTATTTTATTCAAAATGACAAACCACCGGTAGATCTCTCTTATCATTTTGAGAACATATTGGCTGACTAGTACAGATGGGATAGTATATGATTTCATATTGATCTACCAGTACAACTCTAACAACCAACGTGATAGATGTTCATTTTTGACAACATCTGGCGATTTGATTTCTTCCAACACAAACAAATATACAAAACAACGAACCATTTCACAGCTTCTGTATTTTTCTAAGTGTAACATAAATGCTACCATAAAACTCGTAATGTTCTGTATTCACATTATTTTACAAAGTGTTCTTAACATGAAAAGTATCGTTGTATTGAAAGAATAATCCAGAAAGTCAGGTAACGGGCAATCCTGGGTTAGCGGGCTTTGGTGGAATATTCTGTGATAAGGCCAGCAATTTTAAACTAGCATTTGCTAAAAAAATTAGCTACATCACTAATGCCAACGTGATAGATGTTCATTTTTGACATCTGGCGATTTGATTTCTTCCAACACAAACAAATATACAAAACAACGAACCATTTCATAGCTTCTGTATTTTTCTAAGTGTAACATAAATGCTACCATAAAACTCGTAATGTTTTGTATTCACGTTATTTTACAAAGTGTTCTTAACATGAAAAGTATCGTTGTATTGAAAGAATAATCCAGAAAGTCAGGTACAACAAAAAAGCTCTTCAAGCTTTCACAAAAACCGGCAAAGTTGTTCAATTATCTATCATCCCCTCTTTTTTCTCTTCAGAAGCTTCAACATCACCTCCCTTTCCAAATCCGAGTTCTGACATGTCTTGCTTTGCCATCAAGTTCCTGCATACGTCAATAAAAACTTTTACTATAGCCTCAATACTGAACATAGTTATTTACTATATCGTCTTATTTTGCAATACTACTAAAGACAAATTTGTGGGTTTTCTTCTATCATTTAATGAGCTACTGAGTAATCAAACAGATTTGGAACCGTGGTTTGATAGTTCCACAAACAACAAACGCTGAATACCCTTATTTATAATTCAAAAACCATAATGTTAAGGACGTTTAATGTCCTCACAAGCACTAAATGGAATAAAGCAAACAAAGTAGATATAAGCAGCCATGTTCTTTATGCATACTTAATTTTGTTTAACTATACTGATCTATAAGTGACAAAGAAAAAGAAAAGATACAGGCAACGGATCATCTATACATAGAGCACAACAACTAAAAAAAAAAACTGATGTAACAGTAAGAGAGAATTAATCCCCAGGCATAGAACTACAAATTATTTCTTAACGTGGGAAACATAATCGCATCAAACAACTTTCTGTTAAGGCAATTCTTATAAGCAGTATCTCAAACTGCTATTTCACAAATTGAAGTAAAATCCACAAGCATATATGATACTTGAATCATTCTCATTCATATAAAAAAATCATTCCTCTTAAAGCAGTTTCTGAAGACACCCTACATCAAACTGCAACCTCACAGAGATACAAGGAAAATTTATGTAACAAATTCGAAAGAGGTTTTGTTCCAAAAAAAAAAAAAAATCGAAAGAGGTTAATTCTATATCAGGATAAATGTGAGTACCAAATTTCCCAATTTTTGACTGAGACAATATCACAAATGGCTACCAGAGCACTATTCTGAAGCAATTTGACTAGCAGTTCATACATGGAAGGAACCAATCAGACCAAACTGAATTCTAAAACCAACTGCCTCTTCTGATTTACAATAAACCCTGAGCAAAGCTATGACAAGGGCTGCGATGCCAAATTTTCGAAATTCAATTACATTTTTAACTCACACAAGCATGATCTTACTAGGAAGGAAATGACCAGCCTTAAAATAGCTATACAGCCATCAGTTTAATAGCTGAAGCAAGATTTTAAACACAAAACAGAAATGATGTCGTGTAGACCTCCCCTATGAGCTTCACCTAAGAAGAACCTTCAATTATACAAAATATTACAAACCTTCCCCTTTCTAGAGCCTTAGTTTTGAATGATTGTTGTGCCTGCCTTTATGTATCATACCAGATACTGAAACCACTTGTACTTGCAAGGAATCTTTAAACTGAAGCTACTAATACTTCTACGAGCAAGTTTAAGACTACTGAAAGTAGAATGCCAAAGATGACAAAGTGGAGAGATGAGTTAAGAAAAGCATTATTGGTCAAGCCTATTCGGTTGCTTTTGAGTGATAATGTCCCATAAGTTGATCAAAAGACAGCAGAAGGAACCAAAACAGCCTTAGAAATCTCTTCAGTATCACAACCATTACAGGATACATAATAATAAAAATCTCCATGGGGTAGCAGTGAATGTATGAAGCTTAAGATATATAAATATAGTAAGGCATGATGAATTTATCTTAATGTTTATGACCACAATAGTTGAGGATGAAGACAGTAGTTTCATGCATGGTTGACATCATAAAAGTTGCATAAAATCCTAAGTTTGGCATCACTAAACAAAGACATGAATAAGACCAGTAACAAAAATGAGTTAGAGAATCATCAATTTAATTCACAGTTTAATTCTTATGTTGGAAGAATTGTCTTTCAAGATTACAATCCCAAAAGAGAAACGCCAATAAGCATATAGAGAAAATGTGGAAAAGGAAAATAAAAGATTTCTGTAGTTTCAATTTCTGAAGGTTAAGTACTGTAATTTTATCAATATCTACATTATATAGATGAAATTTCATGTCACTCCTTTGACAAGGCACTATATTATCTTGCCATTAGGTTTAACATCATTTTAGGCCCACCACATATCTAACCTTACAAATGCAAATAAATTTCAGAAGTTGGCTCAATCCCAAAAGAGAAAAGCCAATAAGCATATAGAGAAAATGTGGAAAAGGAAAATAAAAGATTTCTGTAGTTTCAATTTCCGAAGGTTAAGTACTGTAATTTTATCAATATCTACATTATATAGATGAAATTTCATGTCACTCCTTTGACAAGGCACTATATTATCTTGCCATTAGGTTTAACATCATTTTAGGCCCACCATATATCTAACCTTACAAATGCAAATAAATTTCAGAAGTTGGCTCTAAATAAGCATCTTCCCATGATCTTTTTACTTTGTGTGAAAACACAAACAAACTTATTGAAAAAAAAAAAAAAAACCCAACAAAACTCACTTTTCCATACGACATTCAAGGTACTTTTTGGAGAAGTGCCTACACTTTTCAGATTTATGACCACCGGATTTGAGACAATTGATGTATTCTTTCTTCTCCTGAAACAAAATGTAAAAGTAAGCAATCATAGAAATTTGAGTTCAAAACCAACAAAGATATCATCAGGAATTCCACGCAAATGTCTACGAGTTAAATGTTTTTTATTTATTTTTTTTGGGTGTGGGAAAAAGAAGCGTAAATAAGTTTCCTGAAGGAGTCTTTAATTGATACTACCAGGTCACATAGATGCATGTGATCTAAAGGGAAGACTCCTTTTTCGGGTGGCACTGGTCTCAGTCCCCTATTCCCACCAAATGCTCCACCTGCAAAAATTACAAAGCTTTGTCAAAACACACACACACAGAGTACACAAATTTTTTATTTTATTTTATATTTTAATTAAGATTAACTAATGCTGTGTTTGGTTAGGGGATTTGAGGAGGGATTTGGAAAGAGAAATGGGAAAGGTAGGTGAAATGTGAATAAAACATATTTACATTTCACCTAGTTTCACACATCTTTTCCTTTTCCCTTTCCCTTTCCCTTTCCTTTTCCTTTTCCAAATCGCTCCCCAAATCCCCCAACCGACACAGCTTAAGAGAATCCATTTCTTCTACCGAATTTAACAGGCGTGAAAATAGTTGACAGAGACTACCACAACATGAAGCCATAAACTTTTGATTTCTGGTTAAGTTTAAATTAGGCATTTGCAATTCTGCGCTAGAAACATGACATTGATAAACATATATAAACAAATAAACCAAAAAAAATGGACAAATATATGTAAAGCACAGTCATATGAGCTTTTCAATGGGACTCAATTCACAGATTGATTCACTATTTCAGGATATTTATGAATCATTTGATCACATACATACCCACCCACTTTACTATTGTTTTGGAAGAATAGAAAAGGCCCTAATTCTTATTGGACCAAATACACCATGAATTCATATCACCATGGTTGTTTTTTGAAACTGAATGATGCAAACTAGAACAATTTAAATATATATATATATATATAAATAGAAAAGTAAATTAGATAATGAAAACCTAGGGAGAGAAAGAGATTGACCAGCACTCATATGTGAGATTTTGGTTCAGCTTCTGTTACTTCAATGGCTGTCTGAAAGCTTCTTTCTTCTCTTGCTAGTGCACCGTGATTTCCCCTGTCTCTCTTTCTATCTAAGCTGCAGATCTGAAGATTCCATGGGATCGATGATCATGGTTTTTTTTGGGTAATTTACAAAGTTATCAGACTAGATTATATTTGTCCAACTCGATTTTTATAAAAACAAATTTGCAAACTATTGATAAGAGCATCTCCAAACGTTTTAGCAAAAATTTTACCGAGCGAAAAGAAAAAAAAATTAATTTTCTTAATTTGATACGCGCAGTTCCAAGGATTATACTTACTGTAATGTGTATCAAAAAACGAAAGAGACATTCGCTGAGTCGACAGGTTTAAATTTTTTTTTAAAATCATTTGACCTAGTAATTTGAATTATTTAAACTAATTGGCTGGCCAATTTTTGCATGAGCCGGTCGACTGATTTGTCAATCGAGTGGTCAATCGGGTGGTCGATTCCGTAGTATAAAATTTTTACAAATTTATGCTTTAACGGTTATGCATAGTGAATTAGTGAAAAAAACAAGTCGTCCTCAATTTGGTAAAATGTTTGATATTTTTTTAATTTGATACTGTTTTGGTACAACCGTTAGAGCACAAAAAGTATTTTTTTTTTATTAAATTTGAATTTAATGTTGAATTTGGTGAACGGTTGAAGATGACCTAAAGTAGTAGAGTAAAATGAGTAAAATACAAAATAGTGTTATTAAAATTAAAATTAAAATTAAAATTAAAATTAAAATTAAAATTGTTGAGTTTACAGTCAAAAAATTTTTGCGTAAAACTTGGAAAAATTCGATCTACCATCCAATGGCTATAGATATATTGCGAGATATATTTGCATTTGAAATAAGTCTCGGCGTCGGATTGGCGAACCAATAAAAATCATATCCAAACCCCACCCGCAAGCTTATGCCTATTTTGAAAAGATGGTAAAAAATAATTTTTTTGGTTTTTAATTAAGTTTTTTATCTTTTTAAATAAATGATTTGAAAAGTTAGTAAAAAGTTACTTTGGTTTTTTTGATTAATATTTGTTTATGATGTCAAATCACAATAAAATAACCAAACTATCCCTATTAATTTAAAATATTTACAACTTTACTCATATAGCACATTTTGACTCATGAGAGGTAGAATTATAATTTCACAAATAGCTAAAAACCAACTTCTCAAATAAAAAAATACAAAAAAATCAACTTTTAACTTTTGATACAAACCAAAAAAAAAGTGACTAAAAACCAACTTCCCAAAATAGCCCCTAGTTGGATGGGTTTTTTGAATTCGACTTTTTTTTTTTTAATTTAAATTTGAACTTCATTACTCTCTCTCAAAATAATAGTATTTTTTTTAAGGAAATTTAATTTTTTTGATTGTATAATTATTATATTTAAAAATATTAATTTTTCAAAACTACTCTTTGATAGTATTTTTTTTTATGAATATCAATTGTCATAATTGTTTTTTTTTTGTGTTATTAATGAATTTAAAAGAAGGAAAAATAATAAATTCATATTATTTTTATTTTTTTTTAATTTTTAAAAAGGGACTAATATTTTGAAACAATAAAAAATAGAATAAGTAACTAACATATTAGGACAGAGGGAGTATTATATTTTACTTATTAGATTTAATATTAGATTTAATATGAGTCTCGTTTTGATAATCTGATTTATTTATTTTATAGAATTTTTTATATATATTATTTATGAAAAAAATTAAGTCGATATGATAATCTTAGGCAGCGTTTGCTTTACTTTTCAAAATTCAATTATGTTTTTAAATCATGATTTGGATTAAAATTCATAACCAAATAAAATTTTAAAATACATCTCAAAATTACTTTCAAAACTCCTCTCTTCTCTTTTATTATTATTATTATTATTATTATTAATCAGTCAATCAATTAGTTTTCTCTCTCATCTCTCATCTTTCCTCTCACATTCTCTTACATTTTATACATCACTCAATCAAAAAAATTACAAATCATTCCAAATGTATTTTCAAAACTCATAACTAAACAATTTTTTTTTTTTTTTTCAAATCATGATTCAAAAACTCAAAACTCAAACAACTCCATACTCAAATTATAATTCTAAAACTAAACCAAACGTACTCTTAGTCTTTTTCATTTTGTGAGTCCAGATTGTCGGCTGCACTATCCTGTGGGCCTCCCTGCCGTGCTTCAAAAACGACGTTGTTTTGATCTTTTTTTTTTTAGCCCCTTTTCGTTTACCTATACCCACCCACTACCCCTCAGCTCCACCATCCCTTTCCTTCAACGTTCTCTCTCTCTCTCTCTCTACAAACACCAAATCAACGTCCAAACTTCAAAGGGCGGGACCCACAAATAACTCTCGATATCCACATCATCTATCTACATTCCACCATCAACCCTCTCTCTCTCTCTCTGTGTATGTTGGTAATAGCAGAGGAGAGAAACGAAGCTCAAGACAAATGTCACAAAGTCTTCTTAGATCAACTCTTAGTTCCAATTTCTGGAATTTCAAGCATTGAGGACGAACCCAGAAAAGGAGGAAAAAGGTTTTCAATCGAAAATCCTTGTAAGTAGGAAGGAAATGAATCTTTCATATCATTCACATGTAAGACAATTTGTAAATATAAAATATTGTATTACAAATAAAAAATTAAACAAACACTAGGTGAAATAAAGAAAAAAAGAAAAAAAAGAACAACTTATCTGAAACAGATATCTGTACAAGTGCTAGATTAGTTTGAGTACTCAACTCACAATAACTTCCTTACTAAATTCAATTACTACAAAGAAAGGCTAAGTATAACTCTGTAACTCCATAGATCACTAACAGCGGGTAGTTAATGGTGGACAAATCTTGGGTACTTATTAGTTTCATTTAAAGAATCAGTGCCTTCACAAAAAACCCTTTTCTCTGTCCCCTTGCCTCGCCTTGCCTTGCCTCCGTCACCTTTCTCTCTCGTCCAGTTCGTCGCCTCTCAGTTCGCTTTTGTCTCCGTCTTTGGAGATCGTCTCTCCGTCCGTAGATCGTCTCTCCACCTCTCTCTCTCTCTCTCTCTCTCTTTGTCCAGCTGCGCCTCTCGTCTTTGTTAGGGCTAAATAGAGACGAAGATGAAAGTGAAAAGAAAAGGCAAGCAAACTCAAATTTTGAAAAAAATAAAAAAAAACACTAAACAAAACGATGTTGTTTTTTATAAAACGATGTTGTTTTGGTGAGGGCCATAGAGAAGTGCGGCCAAGGATCTGGACTCTTCATTTTATTGTGTTTGTTCCCGAAAGAATGAACACAAGTGTATTTTTTAAAATAGAACATCTATTTTTTAAAAACTAATGTCATAAAATAAAAAAGACTACATTTATCGGATTAACTAATTTTTTTCATATACAATAAATATAAAAAGTTTCACCAAATAAATAATTAAATTTATCAAAATGAAACTCATATATTATAAACTCGAACATAACTGTCAAATTTAAATTTGGACTTTCAAAATGCCCAACTTTATTTTGACGAACTAGGTCTGGGCGAAAATCTAAACTCAGCTAATAGGTTTGGAAATTTTGGAATTTGTTTTTTAAAAGCTAAGATCTTGGAAATTCCTTTTTCATAGACTTTGGATTTGATTTTTTTTTTTTTTTTTTTTTTTTTTTTTGGGGGGGGGGGGGTTTATCCCCTAATCTTATATTTCCAATAAATTATCCAAAAAAAATTATGTTAAAGCTAAGATCTTATAAGAGATTTATTAAGAAATTCTTTTTCAAATATTTGTATCTCAATTAGTTCATAGGGAGACTAATTTATAAGTCTTATTTCAGACACTTATGCTATATTAAGTCCTGTGTAATTTCTTATACAGTCTTAAGTCCTATTTAGATAGGAATGTATTCCACAAGATCCTATGAGTTGTAAATAAATGGTATTAACATACTATTATACACTATAATGGCAAAACTATATATAGGAAATTGACTGTTACCATAGAAAGTAACATTTTCACATTCAATTAAAAAAATAAAAAACCTAGCAAGTTTGCGAAACGTAACGTGACACGTTACATTACTTTATGTAGGTGTCACGTTACGTTTATGTAGGTGTCACGTCACGTTACGTTTATGTAGGTGTCACGTCACGTTACGTTTATGTAAGTGTCACATTACGTTACATTTATGTAGGTGTCACGTCACGTTACGTTTATGTAATGTCTCATCTGATATGGTCACGTTACATTACGTTTATGTAGGTGTCACATTACGTTTCGCAAACTTAATCTATGATAACATTCAATTTCTTATATATAATTTAACCATTATTTATGATATTAACAACTAATATTGAGGGTAAATGTGTTAACAAACTTCATACAGGACTTATGGGAACATAAATTTTTTTGTAGGACCATATGTAGCATATGTCTCCCTAATAGGACTTATAAATAATTTTCTCATTTCTTTATAGTCTCAAGTCTTATTTAGATAGGAATGTATTCCACAAGATAGTTGTAAATAAATGGTATTAATATACAATTATACACTATAATGGCAAAACCATATATAGGAAATTGAATGTTACCATAGAAAGTAACATTTTCACATTCAATTATAAAAATAAAAAACCTAGTAAGTTTGCGAAACGTAACGTGAAACGTTACGTTACGTTTATGTAGGTATCACGTCACGTTACGTTATGTTTATGTAGGTGTCACGTTACGTTTCGCAAACTTAATTTATGGTAACATTCAATTTACTATATATGGTTTTACCATTATTTATGATATTAACAACTAATAATGAGGGTAAATGTGTCAACAAACTTCACACAGGATTTACGGGAACATAAGTTTTTTAGTAGGACCATATGTAGCATAAGTCTCTCTAATAAGACTTATAAGTGTCCGAAATAGGACTTATAAATAAGTCTCCCTAATTTTTAAATATATAGAAACAATCTCTAATAGGATGATTTTTTTTTTTTTTTTTTTTTTTGGTTCTTCTCTCGTCCAGTTCGTCGCCTCTCAGTTCGCTTTTGTCTCCGTCTTTGGAAATCGTCTTCCGTCCGTAGATCGTCTCTCCACCTCTTCTCTCTCTCTCTCTCTCTCTTTGTCCAGCTCTCGCTCTCGTCTTTGATTGAGGCTAAATAGAGACGAAGATGAAAGTAAAAGAAAAGGCAGCAAACTCAAATTTTGAAAAAAATAAAAAAAAACACTAAACAAAAC